CATTGTCCCTCTGGGCTCCCCGCCCCACCTCCTTGCTCTGTCACATGTCATCAGTCCTGGACCATCTAGAAGGCTGGCTCTTGCTTAAGAATTGTCAATGCTTTCCCATCTGTGGATGTATTTACCTCCCACAATGACTGTACAGCTAGCGAGCCCTCATTCTCCCATTCATTCCACAAACACGGTGTGATTGGTGCCATCAGACGTTGTCTAAGTGTGCACATGGAAAGCCTGGGGCCTTGCTGTCCTTGGCAAGTTGGGTGAGGCAGGGCAGAAATTACCTCCCTGTAACAGGGAGGAGGCCGACACCACAAGCAGCCCCTGCCCCGTGCCCTTTCCCACACCGCTCTTGCTGGTTCCCTGTCTCCCAGCACTCCATGACTGCGGGTGGAGAGAGCCCTGAAAACTGAGGTTTTTTGTTTGGTTTTAGGCATGAGAGCAGCTGAAATGGTGGAGTGGGAGAAACTTTTTTTTTTTTTTTTTAAGATTTATTTGAGAGAGAGAGCAATTTAGCAGACTCTGCGCTGAGTGTGGAGCCTGACTCGGGGCTTGATCTCATGACCTTGAGATCATGACCTGAGCCTAAACCAAGAGTCAGACAATTAACCGACTGTGCCACCCAGGCGCCCCTGGAGTGGGGGGAAATTTCTAACACTGCTCCTTTCCTGGCTGGAGAGCCAGACTCTGCCAAGAATGGGTGTCCATTGCAGGCAATGTCATGTCCTCAGCCCTATGGATTTTCACGGATCCAGGTCTCAGCCACAGGTGGTAAATGTGGGTCTAGGTGAGTGCTCGAGGCCAGTGCCCTGGGAGTTGACCTTGACTACAGCCACAGGTGGTGAGAGAGTTAACTGTTGGCTACCAGCCCCTGGACCGGACCCCTCCTGGTCCCTGAATCTGAGGTGCAGCTCTGGGTGGAAGGCTACAGCAGGTAAGCTGGGAGGAGTCTTGAGGTCCAGGCTGCTCTCCGCTCACTGCCCAAGATGATTAATAACCAAGAACCGGAAAGATAATTAAAAGCCAAATGTGGAGCTGAGCCTACTGCTGACTGGCTCCAAGGAGGGGCCAACCCTGCTCCTGGAGCCAGGCTCTTGGCTGCCTCGTTCCTGCTCTAGGAATGTATTCTGGGGAGAAGTGAGCCCCATGGGAAGTGGAGGCAGGGAAGATGCGTCCTACAGGTTCAGAGCTTGCTTGGCCTGGCTCCCCAGCCTCCTGCGCGGAGCCGTGGTGCCCCCTGCACCTCCGCGGGAGGACCAAAGAACGGCCCTGCACTATTGAAGAGGGCAGAAAGCCTGACAGGGGAGAGGAGGGAGCTGTGTCACCAGGCCAGAGACGATCAATCATCATAAACAAGGGCCTGACTGTGTAGCAAAGAGCAAGCTGAGTCCACCCAGACACCAGACACCTGCAGGCTGGCTTTTTCTTTTGGTGGAATACGAGAGGAGGGAGGCCCTGGGTCACCTCTCTCACCGTGCTGCTGTGTGCGTTTCCTTGCCTGGCTTTCCTGGGAGCTCACTGTCCACACCACCACTTTCCTGGGGTCTGTGAGCGGGCAGGGGGCACAGGGCTTAGCCAAGGGCAGGCATGATGGCCTCGGTCCGGATACCTGGGCTTCAGAACTCTCCAGCTGGGCCTCAGTTTGGCTCTTAAGTTCCCTGGAGCCAGAGAGAGACCACTTTCCTCCCCCAAAGCCCTCTAGACCCTGAAGAATTCAGACCAGTTTCCCATTTCTGAATTGTAGCCGGCAGTTGCCACAATTCTGCAGGAGGCTATGAAACCAGCAGGTGCCGGGGACCCAAAGCAGGGTCTTCATTGAGTCCTGGGTCTGTGGCATCAAGCCGTTTTGGCTGGCAAGTGATAAGAGAGCCAAGCATCAGTACCTAATAGCTTTATTGAGCACTTTCGTGCCAGGCACTAAGCCTGGTCACAGGCTTCCCACAGCCGGTCAGGGTTGCAGGTACTATTGCCCCCGTGTTACAAATGACGGGGACGAGCATGGAAGCTTGCCGCCTGCAAGGGGCAGCTCTGACTTCTTGATCCACATTCTCAGTCCCTAAGTTACGCCAAGGTTCATGCGGCAAGCACCCAGCACCACGCCTGGCACATACCAGGCACTCAGGAAGCTATTCTTCTCCCTTTCTCCCACCGACACCATGAGCCCCAGCCCCGGGTGGGGTGTGGGGGAGAAGGTTTGCAAAGCTCTCTCCTGCAGTCCTGGGTCTTGGTTTCAGAAGAGCAGCTTTTCAGTGGCTGTTAGCATGGCCAGCTTGGGGTCAGCCCTTCCCGGGAATCGGACGCCACACCAAGAGAGGTGGAGACAGGTGTGGTCACATGCCCGAGGGCTGGGCCCTGCCAGTCTCCTCCCCTGGGGCTGGATTCCCCTGAGGTGGGGCGCAGCCCCCATCCTCCACCACTCTGATTGTAGTCTGCTTATTGCCGAGGCTGCGCCCGGCCTCCATGTGGTGAGAACAGCTGTGTCGCTAAGGGCCTGGCAAGGTGCCCGCTGCCCACCTTCCACCACTCAGCAGTGCCTCCCAGCCTGTCACCTGCCATCTGCCCCATCCATAAGACCGTAGTCGCCTCTCTGGCCTCAGGTGAGGGAACAGGCAGGAGCCCCTGGCCCCAGGGCCCGAGGGACCGGGGACTCCCACCTTGGCCCAGCCTGCCCTTGGGGCCAGTCTGGGTGAAAGGCACCAGGTGGAGGCTACTGAGGTTATGTGCTCCTCCACAGCCACATCTGTACCCAGGCCAGGCCGGTGGGCCTCCTCCTCTGCCCTCCCTGCCACTGGCCCCAGGGGCCCATCTGTAAAATGGAAATCATGATCCCACTCGCCCACCTTGCCACACCGATGTAATAAGCACTTGCAGCCAAGTGTGCCTGATGCACTGGGTGAACAGGCATCATCGGGGGTCTGTCTAGCTGCTGGCGGTACCCCCCCTCTTTCCCTAAGCCCCTCTGGCTATCAGTAGAGAGGAAGGCGACCCCATCTGACCTCCAAGTGGTCAGACAGCAGGTGAACGCCGAGGAGCAAAGGAGCCCAGACAGCGGTGGTGGGGAGTACCCTGGCTTACCGTCAGTGACGCGGCCACTTAGGGCCGATTCGGTGCCTCCAAGGCCTTGGGGCTGCCCGGCTCAGAGGAGGGGAATGCAGCCACTGACCTGGCACTGCTGTTTGCCTCCAGATTGTCACATAAATCAACCTGGGCTTTATGATGCTAATAAACTCACCTCCAATATTTGGTTTGGAGCCTGGGGCGGCAGGATGATTTAATTTGCTTTGTCCTTAAGCAAGAGGGGATGTAACTGGAGAAGGGGAAGTACAGATGTTTTGCGTTTTTAGCAAACAGCTGGGGAGCTCCAGGTAGGGCTGGAGCCACGGAGTGCCTGCCCCTTGGGAGCCCTCCCTGCTCTGCCCACCGGGGGCTGGAGCCTCCTGGGAAGAAGTCGCCGTGGCAGATGGGGTTAGGGTGGTCTAGTGTTCACGTGGATGGAAAATCACAATACTTGGGGACGGACTAAGAAGTGTACAACAGTGAGAACGCAGACCGCGGCCAATCACGCACGACCCGGGGTTCTCACGGGCTGTGGTGGCCAGGGGCCAGGGCGGGGGGTGGCATCGCCTGTGGACTCCCCGGTTTGTACATATCCCAGGTCTTCCTCCCTCTCCCTCCAAGACCACCATGGGCCCCAGGAGAGCCAGCGTGGTCACTGTTCAAGGTATGAATACCACGCCATGCAGGAGGCTGCAAAGGTTCCTGAACGTGGGCTGAGCAAGGCACTGAAATCAAAAGGGGGAGGTGTCGGGGACCTGAGGACCTACCCCAGGCAGGCAGCTCCAGGTCAAGCTGCTCTGGGCTCCAGGACAGGTGGGCCAGGCCCAGGGCTGGGGGGACGCCAGGGAGGGTCAGGAAGGACCCCCAGGTCCTGAAGCAGAAGGCACACTGAAAATGCAGAGTCCACTAGTCACCTGTGTTTCCAAGGAAGGCTGGCCCAGCAGACGCATGCATGCTTGTGACAGGGATGGGGCCACGGAAGAGCTGGTGAGGTGGCCAGAAACTCACCTCCCCTTCCATGAGAATGGTGCCTGGTGCCCCATCTCACTCCACAGCACCCAAGGGTCATGGAGAGTATGAACAGAGCACCCAGAGCCTGGCTCAGAAGGGGGCCACCTTTAGTACTGGAGTGGGGACAGCCAAGCCTGCTGCTGCCCCACAGGCCTGACCTCTTGGAGGGTGGGAAGCAGAGCCCCCTCACCGCCACATGCTCAGGGCGTTCCCAAGCCACTGTGGTGGTGGCTGGGGGTGGCTCCCTTTCGTGGTCCTTATACACTGCCCCCCGTAGTGCAGGAGACCCCGCGGGCCCCATGGGGCAGTCAGGAGAGCAGCGGATCCCTTTGAGGGGTCACAGGCTCTGGGCTTTAAACCGTCTCCCGGGCTGAGTCATCACGGGCTCAGGAGCTCAGGACTGGTGCTGGCACCCCACGGCAGGGGCCCTCACAGCGACAGTCCAGGGACCCTGCTGCCGATCAGCACTTCCTGTTCTTGTCATGGGGGCTGGCCAGGCCCTCCCCTAGGAGCGGCACCTGGCCACTCCAGGCCTGAGGGCAAGGTGGGCCCTGGTAATCCTGGTGGGGAGGTTGAGGGCCTGGGACTCGCCCGGAGGCAGCAGCTACTCGTGCAGCAGATTCCCCAGACTAGGACGCATGAGGGGCTGGGACAAAGGAGGAGGGGACGTGGCGTCTGGTATGAATAGTGGCAGTGCCAGCACAGTGTCCCCACCGTGCGGGGGAGGAGCCTGCCCCTGGTGGTTGTCTGGTGGGGCCTGTGTGGAGAGCGGTGGCCAAGCCCGGAGTCTGGGGCAGCTGTGTGCCCAGGCCGTGCAGCTTGGCTGGCCAGGGGCAGCTCCACGCAGGGGACCTGGGGGGGGGAAGGTTGCCCAGCGAGTGAGGCACAGTACAGACTGTGCAGAATCCTGGAGGGGAGAGAAGAGCCCCGGCCAGAGACGTGGAGGGTCCCCTCCAAGAATCTGGCCTCGCCTGCCCCAAGGAACCCTGGGAAGGAGCTAGCTCTTGGCTCTGCAGGGGGGGAGGTGAGCGGGGGCGCTGGAGTGGTCTCTTACCACCAGGCACATCCTGCCATCAGACCTTGGTCTCGCTGAGGACGATGTTGGCGGTGACGAAGAAGAAACAGGAGAAAGCCCAGAGCAGCACAAAGCCCACCCAGAAGGTGTGGCGGAAAGGGGACCTATGCTTGTTGACGGTCCCGTAGCCCAAGGTCACCTGGGTGTCCTTGCGGCAGTGGTACACCAGGAAGGCGGGGATGACGTACTGGATGCCCGTGCCCGCGTAGGCCCCCGTGATGCCCACCAGGGACTCCAGGTCATGGGTGCAGAAGGCCACCAGCACCGGGGGCAGCAGGGTGATGGTGGGGAACACCACGCGGTCCACTACCCAGGGGTACGTGCCCCCCTCACGGTGGAAGAGCGTCTTCCAGTTGTTGCGGAGGGTCACGGCGATGATGGGGAAGTTGGTGCTGATGGTGAAGACGGGAAAGAGGCCCAGGAAGAAGCGCACGGCGGCCACGCTCACGACGTCGCAGCGTGCAAAGTTGAGGGTGTACATGTCCATGAGGCTGTCGCCGCGGAAGCAGAAGATGGCGGTGAAGCAGAGGAGGCCATAGAAGGCGAGGATGAGCACGTAGTCCAGGAAGACCAGGCACGTGAGGTGGCGCTTGGAGGACACAGGCGTGACGAGGGACGGCAGAGAGTGCTGGCACATGAAGGAGTAGACGCACACGCCGAACAGGTTCCGGACGCCCGCGAGGTCAGCCAGGGGCGGGTGCCCCTGCCGGTGCCCGTGCCCGATGCGGACCAGCGCCAGCACGATCATGATGGCGAAGGCTGGAAGACAAGAGGGCAGTCAGCCAGCGGAGCGGGAACCGGCCCTTGCCCTGGAGAGCTGTTGGTGTGGGGGCGCCTGGCGAGGGGCCGGAGCTCCATGAGAAGCGGGAAGTGCACGTACAGGTCGGTGGGGGCTGCTGATCGTGCCCCCTCTCCCCAGGGCACGAGGGGGTGTCCGTCTCGGGGGATCTGGGCATGAGAAGGGGCTGTGCTGGGCCGGGGGGCAGGGCGGCCCCGCGCCGCCTTCTCTGAGGAGAGCGTGCTCCTGGCCGTGCTCCTGGCCCGGTGCCGCTCGGCTCCCTCGCGGGGCTTTCTCGGGGCCTCCTCCGCTCGCTGGCCTGGGGCAGGCCCGGGGCGGGACTCAGGTTCACTCTCCCTCTCTCGGCCTGTCTGAGGCACAGGGCCCCTCCCTGCGGGGGAGGCTGGGGGTCTCCCCACTGTCCCCTCAGGTCACATCACCCTCCCTGGCTCCCCGGAAGGAGGCCTTTCTCCTGGGACTCACAGAAAGCCAGACCAGTGTCTTCCCACAATGACACTTGGGGGTGGGAGCGACAGGGAGGGAGCTGTCTGGCACTGGGGACAGGAGTGGGGAGGGAGCAAGGGGACAAGCCTGCGCAAACTGCCAACGAAGAAGATGATTCGGTTCCTCCTCAGCCCGCTCCTGCCCCGCCGCCGCTCCTGACTCTGGGCGCTCCAAGACCCTCCCTGCTCCCGAGACGCCGCCTTCCGAGCTCTGGCAGGTCAAGGGGAAAGCGGAGACCCAGCTCCTCCTGTGGGCTCTCAGCCCAGGGAGCTGTCTCTGGGTTAACCCCTGGAGGGCGGAGAGGGGGTGACGGGGCAGCCGGGGACGCCGGCAGCCTGGCTTATCAGTTGTCTGGGGCCGAGCGCGGGAGGGGCGTGCGGGCCAGCGATCTGTGCGGAGGAACCGCACCGCAGCAAGTGCGCTGGGCCAGGGTGGAGGTCGAGTCCCCTGGGGGCCAGGTCACAACGCGAACTGAGCAGTCAGGTGGCTACAGCTGGACGACCTGGCGGGGACCTGGGGCCGCCCGGGGACGGGCTATCCAAGAGGCCGCGGCTGACAGTTCTGCGAGATTCAAACCCTGCTCTGCCGTCACCATTTCACGTGTCACCTCGTGGCCTGGTGCCACTCAACAGCTCCGAACGAGGCGAGTGGAAGAAAGCTGTCCCTGCAGCTCGGCCTCAGGGCCAGGGGCGCGGCGGGAGAAGGCGGAAAGCCAGCAACTCCGAGTCACTGAGTCACGGCCGCCTCCAGCCCCGGATGCTGGCTAGTGCCTCTCAGCCCCCCTTCCTCCCCAACGCTCCAACTCCAGGGAGTGCTGGGACCCGCAGGCTTGCTGACCTCAAGCCCCGGGCTTTCCTTACTGCAAATACACCAAGTCACAGAGGTTTCCAAGACAGGAGGAGGTTTTAAAGCACACGGAGGCGTGGGCAACCTCCATCCTAAAGGTATAGCTACTGACGGGTGGCTTCTGGAGTCACCGTCTTGGGAGCTGTGTGTCATTATGTCAATGACGATATGGGACATTTTCTAGAACTTCCAGGGTGGCTTACAAAGGCATGGCTATGGGAGATAAAAAAAAAAAAACATATCTCACAATCCTCTAACTATAAATAGGCTTACATCACAAACGCTATCACCTGGATTAGTCACCCACCTTGTTCTCTTACTCAAGTCTATTTCCAAAAACTGGATCTACCCCCAAGGGCTAGATGCTGGATCCTATCCAGGAATGAAGATGCCGGAGGCTCTTGGGAGGCGATTCCAGCATTAAAAAGTGGCAGCTCCTGGAGGAGGCCCCAGAGAGGGACAGTCTCACCTGGGGGCCCTCCCCCGTGAGCCCCAGTCCCGTCAGCCACACGCTGCGCCGCTTTGTCGAAAGCTTACACAAGCCGTGTGCCTTGGCAGCACGGGAAAGCAGAGGTGCTCCATTTGCCCCCTGAATCCTGACCCAGTGCCTGCTGGGTGCCACTTAATGCTCCAGTCGGGGGTTAGAGGGGCATTCGTCAGAGCTGCATGTGATGAGCACACCGCTCTGAGCTGAGCAGCTCTTCCGAGGAAGGGCACACACACAATGTCTCCGGAGCAGACGCCTGAGGAACACCGCCCGGGCTTGGGAGGCACTGAGGACTGGCTCTGTGAGAGGAGCCCCAGCGAGCCCTGGGAAGGGGCAGTGGAAGTGTGAGGCCCGGGAGCCCTCTGGGTCCCCCCACCCCTGCCCGCCCCCATCACTGCGAGGACAGAGGGTGGGTGCTGGCCTGTTCAAAAGAAACCAGGGATGCCCCGGACTTCATGTTGTAACGGAGGGACAGAGAGGGAAGGGACCGGAAGGAAGCAGGAGGGCCAGGTCCTGGACTAAAGGCACCAGGACTCACCCCTGCGCTGCAGTCCGGCCCCTCCGCTTGTGACCACACCCCCTTCGTCCCTGGCTCCTCCCTCCCGCGTTCACTGGAGGAGCAGAGTTCAACAGCCATCTCCTAGATTGATGGTCCCATCCCTGGGAGACAGCTGCTCCCCAAACTCATTAGGCCTGATAATAAATCAGGATGAAAGGAGGGTGACAGGCTGTGAGCGACAGACTCTGTCAGGAAGCATGACAGAGAGCAGGGTTCTGAGCGTCCACACTGACGCCGGAGACGTGGCCGGCCACCGCTAGAGACCCTTGCGCCTACCTGGCCACGGCTGTGTGGGAGGTGTGGACAGACACTGGACAGAGCAGTGAGCGCTCCCCAACGTCTTGCTGACCGGGGCCTGCAGTTCCCAGAGGGCAGGGGTGGCCTGGCTTCTCTCTGACCCTCCCAGGGGTCAGAGAGCCCAGGGGAGGGGACCAGGGTCACAGCCCACATCCACCCGCGACCTCGCTGGAACTCACACTCCAAGGGGTAAGGAGATGCAGCGAGTTGCCGGGGAGGATTCTGTGGTGGGGAAGGAGGTGAGGGCCTGACACATGTCACATGAGGAGTGGCTGTCGGCCTTGGGTGGCACAGCTGTGAGGTGAGGAGGCAAGACAAGAGACTTCTCTTTAAATAGCTGAAGTAACAGCCCGTGTGAAAAACTTGCACTTGTTTCGTGTAACTCACAGCTCGGCCGGGACCACCCACCCACCCATGTCCAGTTCTCGGGAGCCCTGGGCAGATGGCGTAGCGAAGATACCTCCCTTCCCTTTCTGGGGAGGCCAGGTTCAAAGTAAATTTAAACCAGGACATCCCGCATGACGTCAGTGTCCCATCACGGGGACATGGGCGACTTCAAGTGTGGCGGTCAAGGTGGTGCTGGGTACCAGGTGTCCTCTCCCTTACCCAGCACTAACTAGGCTCTCAAAGGCATCAGAAGAGAAACCCTGCTTTCCAGAGGCGGCCTCGGGCTCCTCCCCTCTCGCCAGCAAGAGCCGGGTAAGCAGCCTGGCTGGCCAGGAGCTGCGGGGCCTCACGGCAGTCCGCCCTCACAGCCACACTCCCCTCAGAGTGGGGCAGGGGGACCAACACCCTTCGGAACTCCTGCCCGGGGGGCAAAGGTGGTCCCAGTTTACCAGGGGAGGAGTGAGAGCCGAGAAGCTGTGCTCAGCCTCCCCTGCTTCCTCCCCACGAGTGCCCCTCCCCTGGGGCCTCACTGGCTGCCTGAAGCCACAGGTGGGCCGGGGCCTCCTAGGAGGAGCTGACTTGCTCTTGGGACAGAGTGGGGGGACGGGCAGGGGTCTGAGGGTGGGGCCCAGGGTTCTGGCTCCAGCTCTATCCTCCACGTGCCCAAACCCATCCCTGGGTAAGTGAGGAAGGGCCAGCCTGAGCTGGGGGATGGACAGGGAGGAGCGCCCCCCGGGGCCTCCAGCAGCAGAGCAAGTGCAGCTGACACCGCACCGGCCTCTGGGCCATGGCCGCGTGGGTGAGGCCTGGGCAGGGCTCTGCTTTCCTCACAGAATTCCAGGGTCTGCGTGGTGCTGGCATGAGCTGGACCGCCTGCCCGGGCACCCCTGGAGTTGGGGAGCATGGGGCAGGGCGCTCCCTGCCTGGAGGGGGGCGGGGCAGAGTGCTCCCTGGAGCCCCCCGCCCCTCCGCCCACCGCCCCCAGGATGTCCCCCAGAGGTGCTGCAGGCACCCAGGCCATTCCGGCAATCAGCTGCTGCATCCTGCCTCCTCTGCCCAGAGGCAGACTCGACCTCCCTCAAGTCTCTGACCTCTGAACCTGGCCCCAGAAGTCCTGAGGCTGTGGTAGGCCCCAGCCTGTGCTGCCCCGGATACCTGGCTGTTCTCTGAGCTCCGTTAAGTGGCTTTAGCTTGGACACATGCGAGGTGGAGGCCATCCATCAAAGTGGCTGTCACGAGGATGGCACTCTCTTCCCCAAGCAGAGAATCAACACGCCAGGACTAATGATAATGAATGGCCGTGGCGTGCCCATCCTCAGAGCTGGATCCGGGGAGGATCTGGCACCAGCTTCCTCCTTCACCACAGTGCTGCCCTCGGAGGATGCTGGGGCACAGATGTGTCTCTCCTTAGGCTGGTCAGAGGTTGGCCTGGGCCTCCTGACATTCAGGAGGGCTGGGGGGAGCTGACTGGGTAACACCTGGCTGAGCTGCGAACAGCTGAAGACCAAGCAGTTTCAAAGCCCTTAAGCAGGAGCGGGTGACCGGGCATCTGTTCCTTAAGTAACAGGACCAACTGGGAACGGAGAGCCGTTTCGCAGGCTCCCGAGACCCACAGGGCTGGGGGGTGTGAGCGGGGGCTCACCTCCGGAAGCTCTAAGGCCTTGGAAACCACCCCAGGGAGGGCGGGAGGCTACTGCTCTTCCTCTAAACAAGCTCAGCTTCTCAAGTTACACCGGATTCAACTAGGTCCTGCCACTGAACTGCGTCACCTTGGGTGGTCCCGTCCCTTGTCATTGTCTCCATTTTACCACCTTTAAAAATGGAGGTGATCACAGCGTACCTCATGGAGGACGAGACCAGATGGCGCAGTGAAGCACCTGGGCGGAGCCCGGCCCAAGCCA